TCCAGTTTCTTCTTTTGCTTTATTTTTCTCTGCATCCTTCCCTCTCATCTCTTTCCTCGTCTATCTATCTCAGAATTATTTTTAAATGCCAACTTGTCGCCTCTCCTTTGTTTTCCCACACATTGCTGTTATTAATCTGTTATTGTTTTTTAATTGGTCTGTTCTGCTAATGAATTTGGAAAGTAGTTAAAGTATCATTCTGTCTGTCCTGTTGTTGGCAAGATACAGCGTGTTACAGAAAGTGTTTCAGAAAATTTGGCTGAAATGTGACGCTCACTCCAAGGATTAGATCAGTGCTATAGACTCAGGTCCAAATCTTTTTAATCATAGCAATGTCAGTTGGTCGGCCCACCACTTTGGTCCAGACTGAAATTTCTCAACAACTTCTGGACATATTTCCATCAATTCTGGTTCAGGCTTTCATGGTGCCCTGAGGAAAAATCCTATTGATTTTGGTGATCCCCTGACTTCATCTAACGCCACCAGTAGTAGCCACCAAAGTCTTCCTTTATACAGTGAAATATCTCAAAATCTACTAGATGGATTGGCACATCTATCACTTAAACTAAAATGTGGCCATAACTGATCATTAAATCATATGCCTTATTTCTGCTTTTAACATGTTATTTTTGAAATTAATATAAATGAATGTCTTAATTTTGACAACATTTGACACCAAACTAGGGGGCAGCTGGTGTGGCACCCCATACCACCCACCTCAGCATTCATGTTATATTTTAGTGGAAGTTCAAACCCAGAAGACAAATAGGAATCGGACGCTGGCGCTTTTTCAAGATGGAAAACAGTTGTGCGTTGGTTTGTGCTCTGTACTGAGTGCCTTCTAGTTAATTATTAGTTTCATTTAGATAATAGCTGTGTAGAGATACTGTGTGCAATGATAAGAAAACAGAGGATGACAAATTGGTGCTGTTGAGATTTAAAAAACACTTCAGGCACCATTAAAAACATCCCTCCTTAAAAACAGAAACAAGCTTGTGTCCCTTTGGCCTTTCTTTTTCTCGCTGCCTTTCCTCATTTCTGTTCACTCTCTCTTATTATACTGTAATCTGCCCGTCTATCCCACTCGCTCCTTCTTTGTATTCCCTCTGCCTCATCTTCTTCTGTTTGTATTGCTTCTCGTCCTTTTCCTGATGTGCCTCCAGAGGATCAAAAGACTGACAAGATACAGTGTATGTGATTGATTTACCCACTTCACATGACAGAAATCATTGTCAGCCAGCCGCTCACCGCTCAGAAGTGTCCACTACAAGTAAAATGCACATGCTAATTCAGCTCCGCAACTGCAGTTTCAAAGTATCTCTGTATCTCTCATACACTATATGATCTTATTATGATCCCCTGTGTGGTGATATGACTCACTAAGGCGTCTTTGTGCAGAGAGGAGGGATGATTGCTTTGAAAGGGAGTCGAACTAATCGCGTTTGGATCTTTCCTCCGGTGGAGGATGGAAGGTCAGAGGGGATGGATTGAGCCGACTGTGGGAGGAAGGGTGAAATTATGTAAAGGTGAAGAGGAGCATGACCTTGTTAAAAGTAATCTGTGTTTAGAAGCAGGAAAGGGGGTTACAGAGGAATGGAGGGCAGGTGTAGCATAAGAGGGTGACATGAAGGGGTGAAAGGTGTCTGGCAAAAGATTTAACAGACGTTTTTCATTCTGTTACACTTTTTAGCACGCACACTATGTCTTTATTTGAGTTTGGGAATACAAGAGCAGGTTTATTTGACCCTTTTCCCTTGGTTTCTGAAGCAAAATGTACTGATTTATTCATCAAACAGGCACAGCAGCCTGGAAGCGCAGTTTGAGAGTAATCAGTGAAGTGTGGCTCTTTTTAAGTGAAGATGCAAATAACAGGAGGAAATATGATATATCTGGCTGCTTGTGCATTTCACTGGATTTATTAAGGTGTACACAATTTATGAGGGCCAGCTTTTGTGGAAATGTTTTCTGCCTCTAACTGGCAGATTGTGTTGGTGTACTAATAGAAGGATGTGGCAGGGATCAAAAAACAAATTACTTATCTGAAAGGAAAAACTGAGCTAGCATAAGACAATAAATGAGCACAACAACCAACCATTCTAGAAACCAAACTATGAGCAGAGAGCGAGCTGTGGCTCTGTGCTTACTAAACCTGCTGCGATTCCACTCTCTCAGTAGGACATTAACCTTGTGGTGGTTGATATTTCATACATATGGCTTTAGTGTAGTCTAGTGTTCATGTTACTTTGAGAGTTTTTCTGCTTCTTTTGAAAAAATAAAAAAAGGTTGCAAAATACAGGGGAATGATTAATAAGACATGAGCTCCCTAACAAAACTTTGAGGGGTCTCTAAAATATTGACCATCGGCTATTTTTACCATGCATTTCTATTTTTCTGTATCTTTATCATTATGGGCCATGCATAAAATTAGGCTGTTATTGATGTATGATTCTAGGGCTGCCCCCTTACAGTCGAGTAAACTATAAGTCAATAAGAAGAGTCTCACCCTAGTTATGAGCTAGAATGTGATGGCAAGACAGCAAGCAGAGGTTAAATGATTGGTTCAAAAAGATGGCAATCGTAGCTCTAAACTATTGGGAAGAGAAGAGTGGACCAGGATTATGCTTCTGCCCCTGAATTAGCTCTGGTTCTTGTGTTCAGGAATTAACAATAAATAATCTTGTTATTAGGAACAAACCTGCCTCCTTTGTGGACTGTCTGTAGCTAAATGTGGTCGGCCTACGCTACTGTATTTTAAAGTTGGTCATAATGGTGGTACTTGGTGTAAAACGTGTAAAAAACACTGCAATAAACTTCTGAGGAAGTGCTCCTGCTACATTACCATGAGAACTAAAGCAGAGAGTTTTCCCAGTCTGTGTGAATATACAAAAATGATTCAAAGGCAAAAATCCCCAGCCGGCCCCTGTTTACTGTTTTTGTAAAGCAGACCACCAAACAACCAAATGGACCCTGCAAAGCAAGGTAATTGCTGAAAGCTACCTCAAAGTGTTTTAGGGGGATGTTTTTCTTTAAGACTGTGCCCAGAGTAACTAAGCCTTCCTTGTTTAAAGTTCATTATTTCTACTGGTTCCTCAATTAAAATGTCCTCTTTCTTACTTTTGCCTGTTCCTCGTCTTCTTGTCTTTATAAGTATCATTGTTAGGTGTTTCTTCTCTCTCTCAGTACATGTGAGCAATCTCTTATAATAACCTTTCTGCATCTGTGCCCATGACAACTAGACAATTTAGTCAGGGCTCTCACTGCGTGCCAGATGCTAATGGCCAAGCCATAAGTGGCTCAACTGCTGTGGATAAAAGTGGAATAGGTGATTATTACACTAGTCTCCTGCAGACTGAAGAGGAAAGTGTATTTGTACATGTATATATGATTGAGTGGGTTTTTTAGCTGCACTACGGCTCACATGGCTCTACGAATGGCAATCTTGGTCAGTTGGTCTGTCACTTTGGTCCAAACTAAAATATCCCAACAACTATTGGATGGTTGCCATGAAATTTTGTAACATGATCCTTTACTTGACATGCCACTGTGAGGTTGACATTTTTTTGTTTTTCTTGTGAAATATCTTGGTGAATACTGGGTATGATATGATATGAATATTGGAAGATTGCACTGACATTTGGTTAAGACACAGGTTAATTTAATTTGTTACATTCTTTATCCAGAAGCACTTTGTATCATCTTTCTGACGTTCCAATCACAGGCAGCCTATATGCGATGAATTAATGACGTGTGTGCTATAACTGGGCACAGCCGAGAGTAATGGTCGCCTGAAATGACGGCCTCGCTGAGGTGGCACAATGGGTGAAACTGCACTTCTTTGCCGTCCTTTCTGGTCTAATGAGTGGTGATACGGTTGATTAAGTAGGTGTTTTCCATTTATAGCAGTGGGAGTGGCATGTGTGCGCAGTTCTACAATGACTGAGGTTAATAAATCAAAACCACGTTTACACAGCTTTATAATCCTACACAGAGTTCTGGTAGTGAATCTAACAGAGTTTTATGCATCTAGCTGATGTAGTGATTGTCGTTCATGTATAAAGAAAGCACATTGAATACAGTTTTACAAGACCCATTTGTCACTTGTTATGGAGTAAACGTACTGTGACTTTATACTAATGCCAGTAATCCAGCAGCTTGTTTCATAAGCAAAAATCAATGTAGTGACCCGCTCTCTGACATATACAGTATGACTGACAGCTCTTTTTAGTGCAGGCACATTCTCAATCATGTATATTATTTTAGAGAAGGAAACATATGAATACAATAAATCTCTATTTCTCCAAGATACAGATTGCTTATGGCTTTTTGCAGGCATTCAGACCTGTAAGATAGCTTTTGACTGTATTTATTGCACTCTCTTATCTCTACTTCACTGCAGGCATACAAGTGCTGTATGTAATAGCAGTATTGGGTGAAATTCTGTCTGGAAATAGTGTCAAACAGTTGAGCTTCTGTGACAGAATATTTTATGATTTATGATTCAATCCAAATACAGCCTGAAAAGAAAAAGCCCACGCAGTGCTTGTGGCTTTTCACATGAATCATTGATCATTATTACGGAGAATATCACACAACCCTGTATATGCTGTATGTTTCTGGGACAGCTGATATGTTATATTCTCTGGGTGTTAGATATTGTAAGATAGTGTGTGTCACTATTAATTCTCAGCATCAGCATCTATAAATTATTCAGGTCTAGTCAACAAAACAAAACAAGCATGTTTCCTGGGAAATAATTCAAAAGGGCGGCGCCTGTGGGAGCGGCACTGAGATCTGGATTATTTTTGGACGGCGCTGGTCGTGCTGAAGTGCCGTCCCATGTTAATTGCATCACAAAGCCATGTCCCAGCCTTGTAACACTTGTCCTGAGGTATACTGCTGCAGTGGTTGTTGGCCTTTGTAAGCAGCAGTAAGTAATGCTGCACCTGGGGCCGTGTGTTGCTGTGTAATGTACAACGGTTATTCATTTAGTGTCTACTTACTGCGCTGGCAGTGCCATCTGTGTCTGTTAGCCTCTGGTGCAGATCCAACCAGACCGTCTGCAAGGAGAAGCACAACAACAACAACAGCAGCAACATGTCAATCAACAAGACCAACGACAGCAACTACTACAACCACAGCTTGAAGCAGATATTAGTCAGTCACAACGAGAGGTGTTAGTGGGCACGCTGGGAGCAGAAACGGGCATTAAAGCAGGACATGATGTCTTTTCATGGTGAAAATGAAGTTCAGCAGGGAGTATGGGAGGAGGGCTCAGAGAGGAGGTGGATGCATGCCAATAAGAGAAGCTGGAAATGAAACAGAATGACATGACAGAATGAAGATCAGCATGAAAGATCTGAACATACAAGAACACAAAGGCCAAATCTATCTGAACATCATGATGTAGGAGCTATAGATGATAGGAATTATTTCAGATCATTATCAGTTAGCTTTCCATTCTCGCACCACATGTAAAGAGTTTAAAATGTTAACTCTGGCTCTCAACAGTCTAGTAGTATTTGGGACTAGTACTTTTTGAAACATCTGGTGTTGATTTCACACAGAATAAACACATTTGGATGTGAAATGACGACTGTCGCTAGCAGATATGATCAACTCTAGCTAGCTCCGAATGATCAACACTACATACAAAAACAAACAGTAAGTGCTATTAACAATATGTACAAAGCTAACCGTGAGCTAACGTTACTGTAGGGCTGACAGGAAGTAACAGACACTACTACAGTCACACTACATTGTGCGAGTAGAGAATAAGGAGCAGGACAGAGCCGTTACTTTAAATTTAATACACTACCATCTTAGCTCCCACATGGTGACTATTCCAATCTAGTATTTTTCTAATGAATCCTCTAACCCCACAACAGTGCCAACAGTCCCTTGCCTTTGGATCCCAGTCTAAGTTGCTGCTGTAGGTAGTAAGCCAGTTAGCCAGACAAGCGAATGTTTGCGGCTTATGTTAGAGCAATTCCTCACACTTTTGCTCCTGTGTTTTTGCTTTCAGAAAGGCTCTTTAGATGAAGAGTTTTGTTCTTGTCAGATCCTTGTGCTTCAGAGGCAGGGTTCAGTTTAGCGAACAGTTATTTACATTCAAGACTTCAGTGAAGGGGACACAATAGTCAAGTTCAAATTGACATTTCCAACAAGACATTAGTAAAGGCAGGTGGGCTGATGGCACAGTGTGTTTATAGATGACGAGACATTGATTTCTCCTCCACTCTCAAAGCGTGTGAGTCAGAGTTATATAAACCTGTTCTAATAAATCACAGTAAGCGCTGCATGTTTCTGTCACCACAGTGACTGATGAGTATCACTGTTGCAACTGTGAATGAATAGTGTCTGACTTGCTGGGTAACTGAGATTTTTACCAAACGCAGCAGGGAAAGTCAAGGCAATAGGGTCTGGCACAGTGGGCAGGTGAGACACACACACACACACACACACACACACATACTCGTACTGTAAAAGCTGCCGGAAACATACTGAGTTTTAGGATGAATGATTTGAGCTTAATGTGCCACAGTCTGGTCACAGCTGGACTGAAATGGAAGGTGCTGTGTGTTGGTTGGTCGTTGCACATAAAAGACCAGAGAGGTGAAGACTCATGGTCTGCTATTTTCTTTATCAAGTTGTTTACACAGTAGACCTTTCTTAAGGTGAACATTCTGTTTTGTCAAACACAAGTGTAATGGTTTAAGTAGGGGATAATTCATGACGAGGTGTCCATTATCAGGAATCAAGGAATTACTTGTCAGTATCAGTACCAGCAGTGCAGCTACATTCAATGGCTATCATCCTGAGGCCGACTTTTCCAGGTTAGAAACACTTTTTTTTTTCTGCGGCAGACAGACAGCCATAAATAATAATATTTTGTAACCAAAAGAACAAACAAACTCCCACGGGAGCTTGGAGGACGACAGCGGGGGAATCAGAAAGTGTGACTGAGCAACAGAGGCACCGTCAATTTGCCACTTTGAGGAGGGTTCGCAGGTAACAGGATTTCCAGTGTGTTATCACAGAGCAGTGGTGCCAACGCAGGGCACTATTTTCATCTCGCCAGGAACCACATCACTCAGTGTGTAGCTGGCTTATTATTCATTCAGTAAACAATTCATGATTCACTCTGACGCACTGTGATAATATAATTTCCTCTTCCAGACTCCTGCACAGCCTCAACACTGAGATCCATGCAGGTAATACAAGGCCAAACAGAGACACAAAGACAAAGCCACATTTAGTGTGCCTCCTCAAAGCCATGCTTCACTGCAGAACACTGCCTGCTCTTCTGAAAATGTATCCAGCAGAAAATGTCTATTCTTTTGCTTTCCGTCAGCTCCGATTATTCTAAAAACACAATTTTCAACATAAAGGTTTGGTGACCTATTTCTTTTTTTTCCCTGTGTACAGTGTTTTGCTATTCTCTGCTGCAACTGGAAGGGTAATTTCTTCTTTTCTCAACGAAAATCTTTCATCATTGTGGAAAATCACATGAAAATGCAGCAACCTTGCAAGACCTCAAAATAAAAGTAGGACAGAATAATGTAATGTGTTACATTATTTTGTTTTATTCTGGTCATTATATGAAATCTTTAAAATACTTAATCGACACTGAATATATGTAGGGGATATTTTCTGCTATGTTGTTGGCAGAATTGTAATTTCTTAGTCATACCCTTTACAATGTATTACTTCATTAGTCTTTATGTGTTCCTTCCTACATACATACTTATAGAGTATTATCCTTATAGAATCAAGGCTATCTGATTTTTTTTACCTCACAACTATCTCAGTCATTCTCCCTTTATAAGGAATAGTTGATCATTTTGGGAAATACTGTTATTTGCTTTCCTGCCAAGAGTTACACAAAAAGATTGACACCTCTCTACAGTAAACCTATGACAATGAGAGTTTTAACTGGTTGCGAAACAGTCTTAGTTTAATACTGATGTCTCTATAAATATAATCTACATAAACAAACAAGACCATCAGTGATAAGACTGTCATTCCATCCTTTCCTCTCCATATAGTTATTCTTAAAGCTGCAGTAGGTAATTTTTATAAGAATGTTTTTATTTATTATCATATTTGTTAAAACTTTCAATTAGCTGTCTCATGTACTACTGTCAGGATATAGTGAAAGTTTCAGCAAATATGACAAAAAGTTATTTTCATATAAATTAAATT